AAAATCGATTTTTGGGGCTGCTTGTACAACAGCTGTATTTTCATAACGAATCAACATTCAGAGTCGAGACACTTTTCATTTTGTAGAGAAATGTTTAATCTACTTAATCATTTAGTTGCCGTTTTGGAGTAGTTTGTAGCTTTATTGCAATAACTTCTCGAAAAAGAGCAAAAAATGGAGGTCGTTAGATGGACAAGCCGTAGAGTTAATTCTGAGCGAAGAGTAGGTTACCAGATAGTGTTGGTTGTCTAATGCCTTATCAATTCTATCCAGCAAATCGTTTGAAAGAGTTAAAGACATTAGTATCGATTGTTTATTATGAATTAATACAAAAACGATATTATTCTGCAGCTTGTTCTACGGTCGTTTGATTATAAACTTTGGCAATAAGATCAAAAGACGGGAATTCTATTTTGAGTTTGTAATAGATATTGTCATAAATAAAATAATGTGCCGTGGTGCTTTTTAGCGTGATGTCACCCATGCTAGTTCGATTTATTCATTTCAGAAAGGTGTTCATACCATCTGTCTCCTTCATGTATTAACCACACACTTAAACATAATATGAAGTCGTCGGCATGTACTTTTTTTGACCATTTTTCTGGAAGGTTATCTATGTTGTAATACGCTCCAGCCAGCTGACCATAGATAGCAGCAGTTGTGTCTGTGTCATCTCCCAAATTAACTGCTTGTAACGCACCTTTTTCAAAGGAATCCTCATCGCACCAAAAGGCCCATAGTGCAGCTTCTAACGCTGGAACAATATACCCTTTCCCTCGAATACCATCTGCATAGCCGCCTTTTCTTTTAAATGAACCTCCAGCTATCTTTTGAATGTCTGAATGTAATTCAGCTTCGTCGCCCTCACCAAACCACTTTTCCTTCTTACGATTGGGATAAAACTCCTTATCTAATAAATCAGCTTTTGCATAGCCTTGTAGTGCACCGACTATTAATGCAGCATAATAGCGACAAGCATCTCTAGCACGATCATCTCCATGAGTGAGAATAGCTGATTCGCCAGCATTAAGAACAGCATGATAGGGAGAATGATAGAAAAACAACGGTATCGGGGCTAAACGCATTAATGCACCATTGCCGGCAACGCCTTCACGGCTACAAGATGTTGACTGTTCATCAGCAAATCGTTCTAAGTTTTCAGCACTTAATGAATCCATTTGTTCATAGGATATTTGATGTGTTTTTCCAAACTCTCTTTGTTTACTGATAAAGTTTTGTAATGATTCACTAGTTGCATTGCCAATATCAAAACACTGACCTGTTGATGACATATACCTACGTTAAAGGATGATGAAAGTGAAATAAATAAGATGGTAATCTTTAGCTTAAGGGTAATTTAAACTTACCAGACGAACAATGCCTTAGTTTACGATTCTGTGATCCCATATTTTCTTATTAAAGTATAGCAGTGAATACTTTCGGCAGATGTTGGGTAACAATGTGCAGTTTTAGGTGGTGCGATTACATATTTAATAAGTTATGCGATCCTTACTGTGCTTTGACATTTTTTTTGTAAGTAAATGGTATTCTTACCTATCCAATCTTGTCCACTCTTAGATTCTTTATTAAGATAGAGTACGAAAAGACGAAAGGCGAAATTGGGTGAACCACTCATTTTTAAGCACTGATCATCGACAGAGTTTTCATGATTAACTTATGATGAATCGTATTTACTGTGAACTATACAGCGAATAGTAAATCCATTTAGTGCAATAAAGTGCATTTTATTAAATACTGGAATATTGAAAAATCTATCATTTAACTTACCCTCTCTTCCACCACCATTTATATCGGACAAGTTGGTCATATGCGTCATGATCTCCTTTAAGAATTAGACTAATGGCTAAGCAAAGTGCCATCGATGTATCATCAGTCCATTGGCCAGCCTCTAGACCCCATGTACCGCCACCCTGTAAATTTTCGACTGGGTATTTTTCAAGATAACTACGTGGTCTAAATTCAACATGCGCACCAAGAGCATCGCCAATGGCCATACCCATCATTGAACCAGCAATGCGTTTGTATGTATCATTCTCAGTGTAATCATGATTTGGATATTGTAAGTCCAATTGATCTGGTTGCACAATTTTACCGGATGACATATTGCGTTGTGGATTGAGCCATCCTGAGCAAAAGAAAATAATTTCGATGCTTGTATCAAGATATCCATAGGCAACACTACATCTAACGGGTCACACAGACTAAATCTGATAGTCTGTGAAGGTATGCTTTCCAAAGTTATCATACACGGATTAGTAAAGTTCATTCTATTTCTGAAAGACAGACGAATTAAAAACACAAATTTCATTTATATGCTCAAGCACATAAAATCCTTCGAGCATCACCAGCAGACCACTGCACGTGCTTTCGTTAAACATAAACACAGCAAAATGTCAAAATTTCGTCACGGACTTCCACTACGGCAGGAGAGTTATCTGGCGGGGTCGACCAGCATCCGCAAAAAATTCTAACCGAGATGTCTTTTCGCACAAATATGAGTACATGCAACAGTCGTCTCACGGATCTTTAGTGTCTTCTAAAACCTTCAGAAAGATTTAGAAAAATGAAGCTGCATGTAACTCTTGGAGATTTGTGAGACGTAAAATACTCTAGTCAATTAAGTACTCATTTCAATAGCATTTCGCTCCACTAAACTTTGTTCATGCAAAATTCATGTTGGTATCAGAGATACTTATGGATGAACTTACTATTATCGTACGGTTGTTTGAGAGTCGTCGACTGGTTATCAGTTTGTGCACTGACCAATGAGCTTTGTTCATGTGGTTTAGGGTTCGGTTGTCGTGCTTCTAGGTAACAAGAGAAAAATAAGGATATCAACGATATAACTGCTATAGTATCATTAAGCAAAACTCAATCCCTTTTACACTATCTACGCTACCATTCAAATTTCCGCGATGCCACGAAAAATACTTGCGTTTAGAAACTTCATTATCGAAACCCAAAAAAAGGCATTTCCTTATATTTCTATTTTGGGTAAAAAGGACGTCAAATCCTTCTTGAAAGTAAACTTACCTGCTGATGGAGAGCGGGAGCTTGAAGGTGTCTCTGCCGGTGAAGTGGAACGGGAATTTGCACTTTGTTTTGATCTTTTATTTGGTGATTGCTCATCAGGTGTGTGCGGTACTTCCAAGTGGTTAGGACTCCGATTATTTATACTGTCTATGTTAACGATAGTATTGTCGTCATGTTTAAGCTGAGAATCCTCTGTATTCTTTGTTAATGTTTTATTAGGATAACTATTATCTTTCTGCTGCGTATTTTCATGTTGAAACATCACAGATTCATTTGTTTCCATAGGCAGCTCGTGTAAATCAATTCGGCCAGCTGTTATATCTGAACCAGCATCATCATCAACATTTACATTCGCCGGTGTTGCTTGCTTGTTAGATGAAATGGTGGACATTTCTTTTATCTTTTCATGTAATCTGAAAACAGAATACTGCGGATCATTCAATACAAAAAAGATTCCGTCTTTTAACCTCTTTGTTAAACTATCCAGTTCCGACACAAAACAACTGAATTCTAGAGGTAATGTGACTGAAATCCTTCGTTTAACTGCTTCTTTGCAGATCTTAATAAAATATACTGTCGCCTAGAACTAACCCTAATTGTAAGAGCCTTTTGAGAAAATGTATTTTATAGGAAAGCTTACATAACTCTCTTCATTTGCTATGCTTACGCAAGCGTTAAGCAAACTTGGGTTGTCTAATCTTGAAGGATTTGATACATATAGGGCAGATTCCATATTACTTATTTGCCACATTTGTGCTCTTATTTGCGTGGAGTCTTGAACTGAGCCCATGTATGTAGTATCGACAGAGACGTCTCCTTACACTAACTGATTAAAATATATGCTGCAGTACGCTTTTAGGTCAAATAGGATGAAACAGCGAAAATTGAGAGATCATACTCTCAAAAATAAGTGCACTTCTCATGTACAGTAACTTCTACATCTAGTTGAGAAAATCAGGATAGTTTCGTGCATTGGGAAAGTATTAAAACACTTCTTGTAAACAACATACCCTTAGTATATAGCTCAGACATTCTAAAGTAGAATTATTTTCACAAGTATTCAACAGTTTAGGTAGCAGAAAATCTTTTATTCTTGAGGCAATTAGAAACGAGTCCATTCAAATGATTATGGTTCTATAAATGGCATGTATAACGTGTTTCTGTACGTAATGATATGGTACTATATAAGAAGGTGCATCTACGATTCAATCGACTCTATATCCTCGTCGACTTTCACCTCAAGAACTTCGTTTCCAAAGGCGTTCCTATTTTTCAGAAATTTCTCAGTTATTCTCTGCTGAATCCCTGTGGATCCACCAGTAATTTCACGTTTTGTGCAGAGTACGGAGGGCGGTTCATTTTTGCGCAAAACTTTACAGATTTCAGCATTATCGCAGAGTACAGCCAGATATTTGAGCGGCATAATGCTTTTTCGAGGGAACTGTTCCATGAGACTTTGCTTTAAGTGCAGGAACGCCGCCAAAAATACAAAACTCTTAGTTTGAAGGCATGATGTACGAGTCAACTGGAAAAAGATATTCGGTATGAAAAAGTAACGGAACACAAAAAAGCTGTTCGTCAAGCCAGTGGTAACGACAATAGAGAAGAAATCGCTGGTGAAAATCATCAGTCACCTTATAAACCGAAACATGAACCGAGTGAACAAAATAATAGTGATTGAACAGTTATATAAACACTAAAAAAAATCACAATTTATATTTAAATAATTGCTTTTACCTTGCGTTTATGAAATCCCAAGTTTATTCCTGTTGTAAAAAATTGTCCATGGCAAAAAGTATGTGTGATGAAGTAGATATTTGTACAAATTAAGATGAGCGCCTATGATATCTGGAATACCGTCGTAGTGTACGAGCGAGTGGATGTGGTATCTGGGATGTTTTCACTAAAGGGGTGAACACATTAGAAGACCACGGGTCTCCTAATGTTTACAAAATTTATGGAGGTCTTCTGTTGTGTCCCTTAGAGAAGTCATATGTTCGATACCCTCAGCAATCTAACACGCAGCTGAAACCTAAGTATTTTCATCATTGAATCATTATCCATAAGTGTTTAAGAAAGATATTAGTTACGAAAGTAATAGAAGATTTATATGCTGTGCACAGAAGAGAGAGTCAGAAAGAGACACCAAAAGATGATCGCAATACAGCGCTATTTTCGTTACATATCACGCGATATAGACCGCAAGAGAACAGACAGAAAGACACATACACCTGTATTGACCACGTTTAGTTTCGTGCAGAAAAATAAAAACATTATTGTGCTCCAGCTGCAAAGATGCATATGAAAAGAAGTGCAAAAAGGTAAAAAATTTGCAAAAATTCTCAAAAAATCAACGTTTGTTAAGGGTTCTTCTAATCTGTCTTTTGCTTCGCTCACTCAAACGGGGTATTTTAATGTATGTATGCCTTTATAATGCTCAGGTGGAGCCCTAAGAATGGACTCCATCGGGAGTTTTAGGCAAATCGGCTCAAAATCTCTGGCGACTTTAAAGTAAGCTCTCTTATAATCCCTGGGAAATCCGTAATGTGATCCCTTAGGGATTTTGTTTAGAAAGTCTTAGTCGTACCACAGCTTTCATCTTCGAATGAAAGGAAAAAGGGTAAACCCCCCCATAATAGAAGACCACCTGATCTTCTATTTTGTCCTGCAAGTCGAGTTCTAAAGGGTGGTCTTCTATAGCAGTCAAATTTTGTCGCCTCCTAGTAGTCCATTGGTGACTCCCACGTACTTGAAGTCCATCCTCTATTGGAAGAACATTTTGATGAAATTTTCTTGAAATCGCCCTATTGCCCATTTTCCGATTTTATTTGGCTTCAAGTCATACAATCGGCAGTGGTTTTCTAATAGGGGATAGTCTTCTGTTATGAGGGGGGGGGGGGGGGGGGGGTTTAATAAATTTTGCCCCTGTTTTCAACGCACCCTTGGGTTTTTTAAAAAACCTTATAGTTTTTTAAAAACCCAAATTATGATTTAAATTTAAAAATATTGATTCATT